GCCTGTAAAGGCATACTCGGGACTCAAAGACGATGAACCGATTACGGAAAAGGAGAGAGAATTGTTGAGAGAAATCTATGAACATCTCGAGAAGCATGGGGATGCGGTTAAGGATGTGGCGTTTGAAGTGGATGATGTGGCGAGTGTTTATTATAATGCGGTTGAGCAGGGAGCAGTGGGTGTGCAGAAACCTATCAAGGGAAAGGATGAAGATGGGGATGTTGTGAGTACTTCTATGTTATACCCTTTTTGGGGATCAAGGATGTATACTAATCCATATCTATTCAGACAACCGCCATAATCCGCACCTACGGCGACACAACCCACACCCTTATTTCCCGCAACAACTACACCGGAGCCTTCCTCCCAGGCTACCGCGCCATCCCCGCTTCGAAACGCGATCCCCTCAACGCATTCCTCCCCAGCATCCCCCTCGAAGCCATCGACCACTGCGTCGGCAACCAAGACTGGGGCGCCATGCAATCCGCCTGCGAATACTACGAGAAATGCCTCTCCTTCCACCGCTTCTGGTCCGTCGACGACTCGCAAATCAGCACCGCCCACTCCGCCCTCAACAGCATCGTCATGGCCTCCCCCAACAACGTCGTCAAGATGCCCATCAACGAGCCCGCCCCCGGTCTGCGCAAGAGCCAGATCGAGGAATATGTCGATTTCTACTCCGGCGCCGGCGTCCAGCATATCGCCCTCCGCACCCCCGATATCATTACCGCCGTCTCGAATCTGCGCGCCCGTGGCGTAGAATTTATCTCAGTACCCGAAACATACTATGAGACGATGAGAGAACGTCTTGCGGATAAAAATGCGGGGATTAAATGGGAATTGAAGGAAGATTTTGAGGAAATCAGAAAGTTGAATGTGTTGATTGATTTTGACGAGGGAGGATATTTACTCCAACTTTTCACAAAGCCATTGATGGATCGTCCGACGGTCTTTTTGGAGATCATTCAGAGGGAGGGATTTGATGGATTTGGAGCGGGAAATTTCAAGAGTCTCTTTGAGGCGATTGAGAGGGAGCAGGAGGAGAGAGGAAATTTGTAAAGTGTGAGCGTTGGGTGGTGGGGAATGATTGAAAGGTTGTTGCAGATGGGCTAGGACGAGGGTACATTGGCATATTTGCTTTAGGGGTACGGAGTCTGGGGGTTTGAGGGCATAATATTGCACCTTATGAATGATGATCACTACATACCTAGCATAGCGTGAGCGAAGTGGATGAACGGACTTTGGTGTGTATTTTCGGTTGGGTTCTCCTGCATCAAGAGTTATAGCGAATCCCATAATTTATTTCACATACATGCATACAATTGTTTATTGATGTAGATCTGAGTATAGTGATAAAGTATATATACGTCACAGCAAATGTCAAAAATCTATCATATGTACTAAAAGTACCGCATGAAGATCCATATGCAGACTGCAATGCAAAAGATCGCTACAATCTCCGTTATAATCTTCAAATATCGAAATCACACACCCTATATCTTTTCCCTCTCATTCTAATCTCCCATTCTAATCCCCCATTCTAACGAGACACTAACCTCAAAATTTTACATCGCACGGCTCCTGCATCCCTCGAACTCCACAATGACCATCATCATCACCCTCACCCCATCCATTCGACCCCCAACCTAAACTTCAGAATCCCTCTCTCTTCCCATCCCACTAGCAACATGCGCCTCCTCATCCGGAAACCTAATAGTTCTCCCCTCCACCACGCCATCCAACATCCCAGTCGGACTCGCCTCCTCCCCATCCATCCCGATTCCACTCTCCGTCGCACCCCTTGCAGTTCCCGAACGAATCACGCTCCCCCCAATCCTATAGATTGGTCTCGAGCTCGTTCCCGAACTCAAAGCCGGAGTCGAGATGGCACTTCCCAAACTTCCATGTGCCGTTCCACTTCCACTTGCATCCGTACTGGCATTTCCTCTTCTCCTTTCCCTCAACACACCCGAGGTCGAACTGTAAACTCTTGCTCCAATTGCCAGGTTTGTTTGACTATTGCTTTGGCTTGTGAATGCTCTGCTGAGTGTTCTCGGTAAGAAAAAGCCTAATTTGCCTAATGGTATCGAAAGTCCATGCACTACGATACTACAAATCGTCAAGAACCAAACGACAACTGAAATGACCTCGGCTAGATGTTCTGCATCTCCGCGCTGAACACCATCTACTGTGATGGTTTCGAGGAATTCGAGTGAGATATAGAGATAGAAAACAGCGCTAACTCCGATTGGTCCGAAGAACCCAACGAAAATAGCCTGACGTTTTTCCTCAATTTGAGGTATGAATTTGTGCATTGCGAAGACAATGGGTAAACGTCTATTGGTCTGGGGTCAACCTAGGTCTCAACAAGTAATTTCTGATATTGATGCAGAAAGCTGCAAAGGGGAGAGATCGCTTACCTGAAAAGTAGTATCAAGATACCCAAGAATATCAACCGATAAATTGGAATAACGCTATTGGTAGCAAATGAAGCCCAAGGACAGATGGCTCCGAACCATATAAAAACACTCAGATTCAGCAACATATCGATAGTAGGTTGAAGCGAATCATCTAGTGTCTCTAGACGAAACCAATCATCCCAAGTGAAGACATTTCCAGCAATAAAACATGCCAAAACATCATCGCTGCCAATCATACCGCAAGTGCCCACAATGAATAGAGCTAAGGTGATGGCGAATACAAGGAAACTTTCCCGGTCCACAAATTTCTTCTCTTCGGCCCAGTGAAGGAGTTCTTTGGCTATCCAGCCTACAGTAGCTCCATAGACAATACTGAGGAGGATAGTATAGACCCATGTTTCTCCAAACCAGAGACCCATAGCTTTAGAGGCACCTCCAGTTTGACCAGCGCCTACGACATAATATTAGTATAAACACAAAATGAACGACGTAAAAAAGAAGTAAATTAAAAATAAACTCACCACCTTCCCCTGTGTATTTGATCAAATACAACGCCAAAAACAAATACGGATATCCTAATCCATCATTCGCCCCACTCTCCGCCACAATAATCTTTTGTAACTCCTTTGGAATATTCTTGTCCGCAAATTTTCCTTTGACAATACTATTACTCAATACCGGATCGGTAGGCGTAATGCATGCTCCAACAGCTAAGGCATGCAGAAACGACAAATTCGGAACCATTCCCCAAATTAATAGCGAACTCGAAAGCCACATTACAGTCATGATAGGACCGAGTAGGAGAGCGAGGGATTTCCATTCCAATTTCAAATACCGAGAGGGTAGTTGGACACCAGCAAGGACAAGTTGAACGCCTAGGACTAGGCGGGAAAAGTCGAGGGTGGTTGCATTGAGGTTTGCAAGGGAGCCGGTGTAATCGAGGGGGCGAACAAAGTCTGCTGCATGTGGAGACATGGCAACGCCAAAGAGAAGGGATATTACTGTTTAAAACCACATTAGCCATTGTCTGCCAATGAACAGAGTAATAAGGGAAAAAAGGGAATGAACATACATGCTTCAGAAAGATAAAATTTCTCCTTAAACAAATAAGATACCAATCCAAACAAAGTAATGAATCCACCAAGGATGGCACATACAATGTTGAAGTTGGATGTCGAAAGATTAGGCATCTTGGGCTATTCTATTCTGACCTCTTCTTAACTTCTGGATGCTCGTCTCCTCGATATATATCTTCGAATCGAACTGCAATTCTACTTCTTTTCCTGCCAAGACAAGCCAAGCTTGTGGGTTTACAACTCCGTATGTTGTGCCTGTGGTCTGCGAGACTTCCAATTCTCACTCAGTCTCCAATCCTCACTCGAGCTCTCCTTTTCTGCACACAAAATATCCCTTTCCTTCCTTAACAGTAAGCCCGCAGAACCGTCCGACGTATTATCTTATCCCACGCCCGAATCGTCACTCTCACAATCCCTACGATTGAATCTCTTCTTCGATCTCGAAGCCTCCTTAAGATCCCAAGCCTGTGTTATTGAATCATTGAAAACCTTTTCCTCTCTCGAAATATTGAATCTGGAAATGCCCGCCACCTTGTTCCGCGGAGCTTGTCCTGTAGAGATGTATTCTTTCGATCTACTTTGTTGGAAATGGCCGATAGATTATACGAAGAATACAATCCTTATGTGCGCAAACAGATAGAGAATGTTCTCGGAAACACCTGTCGTGTGATTTATTGATGAATACTACCGTTTCATACAAACATGCAGAGGAGTGTGGTTGATCAACAAATATGCATGTGAATTCGTTTAGATATCGGTGAGATGAATGATTTTCTTTTATCCTTATCAATAAACTGAACCCCTGCATTCAGCCATGTGTGCTCACCCCTCCACAGAGCCTGGAGCACGTTGTTTCTCCGCTATCAACGAGTATGGGGTGGGGAGCTCCATGAAATGAAACATAAAAGGTGGAAATAATATGATAATAAAATACTTTCTACATGGTATTATCCAAATGATTTCATCCACGACTCAATATGGATTGGAGAATGAGGTTAAGTATCACAAAAAGGATGACTATGCAATTAAAGAGCTGAATGGTCATTGTCTTTAAAGTTTGAAGTGGTCTTTCATGTTCCCATTGAATCAACCCCCAAATTCCCCCCTCTTCTTGTCCTTCCTATGAAAAGTTTCACAACGTTGCGTGAAGGTTACATACCTCGTAGACGTGGATAGCTTGGATATCAATGGTATACCATGTAAGTGCAAACAATGGGAATCATTCACATTGACATGAATAATCAGGTATCACAAAAGTCTTTATTGAACAAATAAGATAGTAACTGCCTACCCAAAGTCCCACGGAAACCAGTACACTAAACAATGGTATCATTTCTTTCCGTTACATTCCTTCCCTTTGCAGCTTGTTGTCAATAATCAAGACCACGATGAACGCAATCCTCTTTTCACTCCACACTTCATATTCGCGACATGAGGAGATGCAGTTCCTAGGGATTCCAAAAATTGGCGGAGTGCTAAGTAAGAGGCTCAAACAACGAGCCCCTCACCTGTTCTTCTCCATTGCCCCCTTAACAGCCAACCTATCCGCCGCCACATTCCCCGGATTCTCATCATGCCCTTTAACCCACGTCATATTAGTCTGAGCCTTAGTTTTCGTTCTCTTGTCAATAAGCGCCCTAATCTGCTTCACCAAGTCTTCATTCATGACTGCTTTTCCAGTACTAGTTTTCCAACCATTTTTCTCCCAATTCTTGTACCATACCGTCGCACAATTTATTGTGTAATTGCTGTCTGTGATAATCTCGATGCTCTTATCTAATGGTACAATCTCGAGGGCGCGGAGAGCGGCTGTGAGTTCGGCGCGTTGGTTAGTTTGAAGGGTGCCTTCTAGGGGAGCCGAGATGTTTCTAGAGGATAGGTTAATATACTTGTGAAGGACTTTGAACAGAGAGCTCGAAGAAAAAGACATACCTTTCATCACCGTCTCCAAAGAAAACTCCATATCCAGCCACAGCCCCAACCTTTCCATTGCCCCTACTACTACCATCCGTCCAGACCTTGACAGCGTCTCCTTTAATGAATTCCTGCGCTTTCTCCTCCACCGTAACCTTGTCCTTCCCTTTCACCACCTTCTTCGCACTCTCCTCCTTTCCCGCCCCCGTCTTGACCTTCTTGTTGGCCTTCCCACCATCTCTCACGAACTCCTCTGCCTCCTCTCTCGTAGCAAACTTCTTATATTTTGGCCCTTTGACCCCATCAATTTGCTTTTTCGCATCTGCCCACTCCTCATAAACCCCCGTTTCATGTCCCACAGCCACAGCATAAAATTTATCTCCCTTTGAAGGTTTCGCCGGATTTTTTCCAGCTACAAATGCTTCTGCGTCTGATTGTGTCGAAAAAGATTTATCTGTGAGAACATTTTACGTTAGCATTTTTGGCACAATTCAAGAACACACAATTTTTTTCCGTGCCTGTCTCCAAGTTCCTTTCCTAAGAACAAAAATAAAAAAATAAACTTACACATAGCTCCCCAAAGCCCGTAATCTGCTCCTTACAATCCTCCCAATCAGTAAACACGCCCGTTTTCTTCCCCTTCCTAACTGCGTAATATTTCTGCGCACCACTATGTCCTCCCTTATCCTTACCCTCTCCCTCTTTCTCTTCACTAAACTTTCTCTTCCTCGTAGCTGGAGGCATTATAAGATTACTCAAACCTGTCGAGCGTCCCAAGTTTTCCAACTCTACCAGAATTCGGATTTCTTCAAGTAACAATATTCCTTGTCTTAAAATCTCCCGTCGTGTTTGTGCTGAAGTACTTAGGATCTCTAGTAATCTTGTGTTCTTCGATTCAGTGATGCGATATTGAGCTGTATGTGCTCTGGAAATATAAGTATGCGACCTCAAAAACTCCTTCCGAATTAGGATTCCAGGAGATTCGAATTGGCAACGACAAGTTGCAAAAGATCTCGGTCGAATTCGAGATAAATCATATGTGAAAGAGGTAGAAATCTTTATCTGCCAAATGCGCAATCCAGTCAGTTAATGAGTTTGGCGCGAGACGAGATGAAACAAAAAAACACAAAAACAACAAAATGAGATGAAACAAAGATGAAAGAGAATAACTTTTGTTTGTTGATTCTGGATGCGGCCAGAGTGAAAAGGCAAGATGGAAAAACGCTGTAAAGGAGCATTCAATGTAGGTAATAAGACAGTGCTATCTGGGGGAGCTATCGCAAAGCACAAGAAACCTACCGTGAATATTGAACGTAGTCAACCTGTTTGTAGGCCCTCCAACAACATTTGCCAGCCTCAATTGTATCCAGCACAGCACAGAACAGCGAAGCCCAACGAAACAAAAAGAGAGTGTGTGAGTAGTGAATATCTCAATGTCTAAATTTTGAATTGCAGTATGTATCGCAAGGTGTGGTTGCGACCCTGTGCAAGGGTTGAAGAAATGACGCGCGGGGGAAGGGGTCCGGCCGGATAAACTGACTAGCAGCAGGTAGGTACACTTGAGACTTTCTAGGATTGTTGCAAGGCAGGTGAGATCGACTTTTTTGCATCGTTGTTAATCTACCGCTAATAAGATCATACTACTGGGCATACAGCAACATCTACTAGATATCCATTCGAGCAGTTTTATTTAGTAGGTAATCACAGCCATTTCGAACAACCAGGGGCCTTTTAATCAGAGCATTGAACACTTTGAAACTATATTTTCATTTTTATTTTCATTCATCTCTTTTACTCGCTTTGCAGAGATCTCTATTTCTCTATTTCAGTCTTGCTGTACAAAAGTAGTCTGACCTTCCATCTATTGTAGGTTCGCTCTTAAAACGCAAGACCAAAGCCAATCTTTTGGATATCCGCAGAAGTGTAGTAAACGCTGAAGCAATTCATCCATCATAAAGTAGAAAGGGGCCTCTGCCGACTCCAGAAATGTATTCCCATTCTTGTGCACACCTCAACCACATTCACTTCCGCACTTCTGAATCCCTGATACCAGTTCCAATCTCCCAACTGTTGTTACAAATCATCAATTCCCCGAAAATCAAAACCCAAACTCCCAATCTGTAAAAAGACCTCGCTATGCAGTGCAACAAAAAATCATCCCAAATGATAAAAACTCCGGAAACCCCTCGTATGTTACATCCCTGCTCATGTTCTAGCTGTCCTCTTCGCAATCTCTATCGACAATCAAAGTTTAATTGCCTTTCTCTGTCTCTTTTCTTGGTTTGTAGTTTGGTAACTCATCAAACCATTGTTGTTGTTCATTGTATCTGTATGCATGGAATTCAATGCCGTAAGGTTTTGGTTCAATGGCGTAGAGCATTCCCAAAGGTACATCCAAGTCTGCAATATCATCTCTGGTGAGATCCATAAAGTAAGCCATTAGAACTCGGGCAACAGATCGGTGTCCAATGATGAGGACATGATCGGTGATACGTTCGAGTTCTCGAACCATATCTCTGAGTCGACTGATGACTTGTAAATAACCTTCACCTCCAACTCCAGGATATATGTAGTGTAATTTGTCTTTTGCTCGCTTCTCGTACTCGTCCGGAAAGCGTTGTTCAATCTCCTTGTAGGTCAATCCTTCAAAAGAACCCGCATTCAATTCATTCAACATTTCCCAATTCTTAACATCATAATCTTCGTCCATCTCAAAATTCTCTGCCGTTTGGATACTTCTCTTGAGCATCGAAGTCCACACACAGAAGTTCTTCTCATCCAATTCTCCCATGATGTCTGGATAGGGTGGTGTTCTGACAGCTTCGCCTCCCGGAGGATACTTTGCACTCTCAATAGCTGATTGCTGCTGCTCAAAAAGCCATTGTCTTCGACTGTTTGTAATGAAGCTATGAAGAACTCGAGCATATTGTTGTCCTTCTTCCGTGAGATCAGAATCACCACCAAGCTTGCCAACTTTGTTATCGTTGGATTTTCCGTGACGTGTGATCCAAATCTGCCTGGGGGAAAGGTTGAATGTCGACAAATATGAAGCTATGCCTCCTGTCAAGAAGCCCTTGAGTTGATAATGAATAACCTTTCGTCCAACATCTATCATCTTGATATACTGCATATGATTATCTTCTTCGTACTTTCCCAATGGGACGTATGCGCTTTCATAAGCAGCGACTCGTAATTTGAAGTCTCTCAAAGACGATTCTGGATCTTTGTCTTTGTAATCGGGGCCTCGGAGCTTCAATCGCATGTTTGCCTCAAGCAGCTAGAATATGTTCAGTAAGGGAGTCTCTAAAAGAATATGGCATACGTACACTCTCGTCCTCGCAAACACTCTCTATGAAGAGAATGCCGAGCTTTGGCTCTCTGAACTTGACGTGATCAAAGAGAAGTTTGCGACGCTCGATAGTGCTGTTTGTAGCGTCCAGGATACCAACAGCGCCATTTCCCAATAAGAGGAAATCCAAAAGCTCATCTAATGTGGCCATGGCTACCTGCTCTCTGATCAAAGCCGCCTTGGAATTCATTGGATCGAAGAAATTGGCTGATTGATCCATAGTTTCTGGATTTGGCGATCTAGTAGAAGTTTTCTTCGTCTCAGAACCTTTGATTTCTTGGGTCGGATCCACGCCGTTCAGAATCATATGAGCAGCCTGTGTAGGGGCATCTATAACGCCAGAATTGGAACTAGTGCGGCTTGGTTGACTTGGAACAGATGGTCGATGGGCCGATTCCTGGTGCCTCAGTGGTGTGCCGTTCGACGGCCGCGGTTTTCCAGCTGCGACACGACGTCGATTTCCAACATTGAAAATCTTAGTCTCATGTTGCTGCCATGACAAATATCTTTGGATTTTCTTCGTGATATATGATTTTCCACGAGCAGGCAATCCTACCATAATGACCACCAATTTGGAAGCGACATCTCGTTGTGCAATTTTACCATCAGGAGAAACGCGAGATCTGGTCATGCCAGGAATGTTGAGAGTGGTAGCAGGAGCTCGAACTCGGGGAGTTGTAGTGCCAGAATTCTGTCTTAGTGGGAGACTGTACCATTGTCAGTGTTGAGTTCCGAGTGAAAAATTTGTTGAGGTCTTTGCGCCCAGGTAATCTCATGAACATTCCATATAACACTATTCATTGACTCAAAGGGGACTGATGAGAATGGAGATAGACTAACATTCTTGGACTGCTTTGAGCAGTTGAAGGGCCGCTTGGGAGAGGTGTGTCAGAGGGAGGATGACCAACTCCCTCGGTGACTCCATCGCCAGTCATACCGAATTTCTCGTGAAAACTTCTATTAAAGACTGGAGGTATAACAGATGGCGGAAGTGTGATATGGTTGTCGAGTTGTGGGTTGCAAACGGCAAAATCGCGTTCGAGGATGATGTTGCCAGGAAATGTAGTGAGGGGTTGAGAAGAAGGTTTTGGGGGTGGATTCATTGCGGTACAATTGTTAAAAACCGCCGCTTTCGCGATCTGAGAAAGTTGGGACTGACGTCGATATTCCGCTGCAAGTGGAGCGTTAGTGGATACAGAATCCATGAGAAATTATGGAAAATGGTGGGTAGCATACACGACAAAAAGTCCTGGGGCGCTGCATGAATGGCTGAAGGCATTTAATAATTCTCAAGCGTTCCAATTTTGAGGAAGGCAAGCGGGCAAAGGACCTAAATCAATCCAATCAAAACTTTTTTGTTTTTTAGCTTTCAGTAGTTTGAGGTCTAAGAAGGAATTATGTCGGTACTATCAAGGGTTTCTTGGAAGGTTTAAACTAGAACTAACCTTTTTTTTTCTTCTTTTTCTCCCACTATGATTGACAAGTATTTATGACCAAACCCTTTTTTGATAAACACTTGGGGTACTCGTGATAGTAAATGGGATTGGTGGTCCACCTGTGAGAATGGAGAGCAGGGTAACGGCAAGTTGAGAAAGTTCTAGTCGAGTCGTCGACCCAGAATCGCTGGTTGAGTCACGAGTAATTTGCTCGAGTCGTGGACAAGCACAGAAAGCCGGAGAACTGGGGAGTGTGTGTGTAAGTACTCAAAGTATGAATTTTCGAGTCAATTCGAAATCAAAATGGAATCGAAGTTGTATGATATCTTTGGAAATGAGAAGTGGTGGTGGGAGTGGTGGTGGGAGTGGTGGTAGTAGTAGTAGAGCTCCGTAGAAAGGAAAAGAAAAAACAAGTGGTGATAGTAATCAATGAATTCAAAGTGATAAGAGAGAAATTGAAAGAAATTGGGAGGTATGAGATAGATGTAGTTGTAGTTGTAGTAGTTGACTTCTTCCTTCTTCGTAATGTAAACAAAATTGAAGCAATTCTCCTTTCAAGTCTCGAGGTTGAAGTTGGATTATGACCTCGATATCAAGTTCCCATCTGGTGCTCCGAAAGCCGAATCCAGAATGTCTCCAGGTTCGCAGATGTAAATCCTTCTCGATAAGACTTTCTGGAAAGCCTATCAGTAAAACACTACACGCACTAGACTAGCCTTGGAAAGTCTTGGAAATGCAGGGCAAAGAAACAAGCCAGGGATATATCACCAAAAAGATGAGGCTAAATGCAGCAATGGGTAATGGCCCATGGGAAGGGGAAGGGGAAGGGGAGAGATTGATGTGGTATGTTGCAAGGGTAGCTCGGTTTCTTGGAATCGTTTCGATGGATGTTGTAGATTGTTGAAGTGGGGGGGGGGAATATGGAGTGAGTGAGTGAGTGAGAGAGTGAGTGAGCGAGTGGCAAGAAGGCGCTAGATTTATATCTGCGAGCTTCACTTGTTGATTATGGTGGTAACGTTATACTGGCAGATAGGTAGGTTTGTGTGACAGTCTGCTGACTCGAAGGTCCGGATGTTGTGTTGATATATCTTGGTCGAGGGAGTGATGATGCGAGAGATGAGAGATGTGGGATGTGGCATGCGTAGGTGCCGGTAATGTGAAGAATGCAATTTGATACAATATGATTTAATAAAGAGCCTCCCTCCCATGTCTTCAACCTTATTCCGTCCAATATAGATACAAATACTCGAGACTCAAGTGTACACGACCGCCGCGATATCCATCACCTTGACACTTCACCATGTATCAATCAACGAATGGATGCACTTTGTAGAAACTTGTGGTTCCAAACAGCTGAAAGATTAAGGTTGCAGCGGCTTATTGCAAAGTAAACAAAGAGATTCATTAAATTCTATTCCTTCCATCCTTTACGACCATTCATCATCAATATCCGTCCTCCTGATCCATCTTACATCTTCAACCCCCATCTCTGGGGAAAAGCATCGTATGGAGTTTTGTCTGTACACCACATTAAAAAGCATTCACCGGCTGAAAAATAGTACATCACTCCCAAGAGTATTCCTGTGTATGGAATCGGGCATTGCTTGAACATGGCCAATAATGCACACAGCGTGCCCTTTGCGACCCATTTCATAGGTTCCAAGAATCAATGCAGGGTTAAATTGTCACAAACATTCTTCAGATAACCTACCTATCCCAAGATCCATCCATCCTAAGATACTCAGCCATGTTGCAATAAGCGTCACATCCACAATCCAAGAAGATTGTAATGTGTTTTGTTTTGTTGAGAGATAAGGATTTTCTTAATTCTTGATTTGGTTTTGGTTTTGATTTTTGGAAATTAATCCCAACTAGAAACAATTACCTATGTTTCAGTGCCCAGATACCTACATACTTGTCCGCAATCAACAGTCTCAGACAAAACCACTTTGAGACTGCAGTGTGGGGGGGAGGGCCAGCAGCCTTGACATATTCCTGATATTCCAATGAGAATCTAAGATCTACCCTTGAGTATGTGCCATATACTAGATGTGGATGTCCAGTATTTAGCACAGCAGCCAAATGATCTTTGCGCAAAGTTATATATAAATAAATTACAAACAAGAAGGGTTACCAGGGAGTTCTTCGGTACTCAACTGCCTCGAAATCTCACCCGCCGGTCCTGGGATTCTCTGCCCAGCCCCATATCCAAACATCGCATCGCCCTTCTCCAAACACGCAAATTTCGATCTTCGTCTTGGTATCGCAGTCGCAAGCAGATCAGATCCGTATCGCTGCAAAGCAAAGGAATCATCTCACACGCGGAAGCCCGGTCCGGACTTGGCAATGTCTTCAAATCTAGATATGGTCGGCCGGCCAAGACGGAAATTGTTGGTAAATGACCGTGTGCTTATTAGTGTACAACAAACATTTTGATGTTGTCGATAGTCTTGTGAAGGAAACTTCGGTGCTGCTAATATTGATTTTATCTCGGCGAACTCAAAAATCCGGATTTTACCTCGAGGGAGACGTGGTCAAGGTCGCATATCAAATATTGGCAGTCAAAGCCAAGCGTGATTCAAACCGAAATTCCCGCCAGAAATTGGAATTTCAGATTGGTTTGGTGGAGAGGAGAGGCGGAAGTATTGGTAGCCTCGTAAGTGGCAGTGAGTGCACGTTACATTCATCGATCTTGCGGGTAGGCCTCCGAGTCCTCTTCCGGTACTTGCAATGCAACACACGCGTTACGACACGGTCATGTGTCACCATACAGATGCTCCTCTCGCTTTCATTCAGCCTTGTGTTTAGTTTTCAAATCATTCGTGTAGGAGGCGTCAAGGATAACCGCCTTGGCTAGACTTTGTGGAGATGCGCACAACATACTTCATAATCACCATCGTCACCAGGTATCACTTCAGTCCGGTAGCCGGTATTGAAATGAAGTTGTTGGGCTGGCACTACTTAAAGCTGGAGCACCTGCAACCTTCCAGTCATCGGGAAGCTGAGTGAGAAAAACTTCAAGGAGGTCACATGAGTTTATTAACCAAAGTCTCCGAAAAGAAAAAAATCGTGCGGCATCCCTACAAACTTCGAAGCAAAACCGACTTTCCAATTCCGGGGACTCCGAAACTCGGTGTGGAGTTTGGGGAATGCAGTAGATCAATCTCCTGTACACAACAAAGTCATCCATTTTCGGAAACGAAAAGGATATTCTTCCGGTTGTACTTGGTTGAGGATTCGGTTGGGAAAAAGCAAGGTGATGATTGTTCAGAACTTACACCACCTTTCGAATATGGAAGTTTTAGGCACATTTTTCATTCCCATGATACATTGTGTAGGTACCTGTACAAAGTGTCGTGTGCTTCAATACTTCATGACTTGATGAGTGTTGTTGAGACACCACAATATCTTGGGGTGTACAAAGTATAAGTATGCTTTTGATACTCGGGTCCGTCTCCCACTTCATTGTTATATCAAATTCAACATGCACAGGGCCGAGTTTGTCAAGAATTCGCAAATGTGAATTGAAGATGCTATTGACAAAGCTTTGGTGTCTTAATACACCATCTACATGGAGATAATTCCCATAGACAGAAATATACCTAAATAGAAGTCTATGAGAATCTCAACATTTCAAATCAGAACTGGATACTGTAACTACAATAAAGATATACTCTGAGTACACTATTCAGATACATACATTCTATCAGTCCCCCGAACAACAGGATCCAAAGATATCAGACGAGAAAATGTGGTTTCTTACACTTACCCCAATGTCACGAAATACTGGTGTCCATTCTGGGGAAGTCATCTAGTACCAACATGAATATCTCTCCTCACCCAACCCTTCAAAATACCTATAAGTCATGTCATATTCTCTCGCCCTCCTCTCTCACCCTCCTCACAATTCCCAATCGTCCATTGAAGTTATAATGAACATACTCGGTAGATAAATCCCTCAGCAAACCTCATTCAATATATCAATTAAACCACAATCTGATAATCCCCTTCCCCTTTCTTGGAAATCGATACTGATATCGATATTCTGAATTACATCCGCGATCCGGGCGAATCCAATCCAATCATTCAAATCTGCAGACTGAGTTGAAAAAGGGGGTCATAATGTATCTTATGTTCTCTATAGGATGTTGTGGTAAGATTACAATCTTGGGTTGCATATGGAAATGAGAATGAGGACGTATTCAGAATAGGGAATGTCATACGTAGGAGACGGAATGGGAATTGAAATTGACATTTGCAAGGGAAGGTTATTGGTGTAGGTATCAATATCGTGGACTACTGAAGGTAAGAGAGAGAAGAGAATCCTCGAGAAAGAGGATGGGAATAAAGAAGGAAGAGAGTATCCTATTTGTTCATCAGGAGGTCTTTCATCGAGAGGGATCCATCGGTGGGTCTGGTGATGAGTGAGGGTGTCAAGTGTCTACTTACCACGAAGGGATATGCTGTTTCCTTACGGCGTTGTATTACATCGAACTGGAGATTGAGAAGGTTATGGGATGGATAAATGATATGGGTACTGAGAGGGGTAGGAGTTTGAGATTGCTTCTCAATGTTCACGGAAAGCAAAAAGTTGGCAGGGTCTTGCACAATCCAAATACAAACGTTATCCTTCTTGTATTACTGCCTCGTTCTCTTGATATTCTCATCCGTCAATTACCACTATCTATATACATTCATCCACATACGAGCAAAACGGCATAACCTAGATAATAGACGATAACAAACTCGGCATCCTATGCTTTACATCCATGACTAGGTATGTGACTGCTCCTTCCCGGTGACTCTCGGACAGTCAAAACTCGTCTTTTGCTGCATTCTCAGAGTCCTATTCGTAGTTTTCTTAGTATGGTACTTGACAGCATCGCATGTACTAGATCCTCTACTCCTGGTCCGACTTGAGGATATAAAGATGTCGAGTTCGCACTGCATGCAATTTTAAGTATTGCTTCCACGTGGAAACTCGTTGGGGTGAATTAGAGGATAGACCATTTGTCGTGGATCGTACCTCGTAGCTTCAATACCCGACACGAGACAGAGAAATGGTTATCTCACAAGTCTGAATACCTGGCATCTTACCCATCTGAGCAGTGAGAGGTATGATGGCATGTGTATCGCTTCGATGAATTTGACAGAATAAAACTGTCAAACACCGATTCCAGCATCATCTCATGAGCGTCTCTAACATCAATCAAACATCCTCACTCATCCTCTGGACCGAATCCAAACCAAATTTCATCCTTAGGAATACTTCCCTTCTCCAATTCCTCGACATTCACTCGGCACAATTTTTGGTTCTCCTCCGGAATCTGCATCTTCATAACTTCATCAACCCGATCTATAAATTGCATAGCCATGCCCGCTTCTCCATGCCACATCATGTGACAATGAAACGCCCATACCCCCGGATTATCCGCCACGAATCGAAGAGCTAACCATCCAAATCCTTCTACAGTTGCTACATCCCTTCTTATTAAATTGTCTAACACATGTTCATGGCCTGGTAATGTACCACGACCTTCTGGTTGAAGATGTAGAGCTTGATACCCGGGAAATTCGCCGTGTCCTTGGCCTAGAACCCAGACTTTATGACCATGTAGATGCATGGGGTGATTCCCTTCGTCGAAGTTTCGGATAATTATATCAACGACTTTGACTCCGGAATGTTGGATCAGATAATCGTTTTCCTGGTTATAAGATATCGAGTTTACGCCATTGGTCTGGGCCATGGATGTGAATGATTCGTTCTTGGTTGAGAAACCATCGATTGTACGATGGAGTGTTGGTTTATGAACTTGAGGGCGGAAAGTAGAGCTGTTGAAATAACCTCGCTGGAGACGCCAATAATGTCTTTCAAGATTTGCGCGGATGAAATAGCTATGATCTGCTATTCGCGGGGCAGGTTCAAAGGAGGTGGGTGTGAACCTGGTGGTGTCCATATCTTTGCACCACGTTTCGATTGGCTTCTTCCACTCTTGGGAAGTTGGTTTAGAGGTCATGGTTTGAGGTGTGTTTTCTTCGGAGATATAACGGATGACAGCTCGAACTTCATCAGCTCCATTGGCTGGTAGACTGGGTTCCTTCCAGCAATGAGTTACCATTCTTGCCCTGAGCCAAAATGCATTAGTGGAATTGTGATTTGTATTCACAATCATACTGTAGCGTTGTGCAGGACTAATCATCATGCGGGTCTCATATGATGGCATGATGTCCGTTCCATCAACTTCAGTAATAGCAAACTCGTGCTCGTCCAAACCGACTTGAAACCAAGCGAAGGCACCAGTATTGATGAATCTTAGTCGATGATTTTCATTTGCGGTCAAATCGAATGAAGGGAGAATTGCTGTCGAGTTGTCACATGTTCGATGTGGTAGAACGGAACAGTCTACACTGTTAAGTCCATTTATCAAAGCTCCATCAGGAATCGGTGAGGCTTCACTACCAGGCTCAAGGTTTTTCATCGTGAGTCCACTACTTAACTCATGATAATAATCTTGAAGCATTATTACCCGATCTGTAGAATATGAGATTGGCTGCAAAGTCTTCTCTTTCTTAGAATGGATAATCAATGGCCCGAATAGCCCATCAGAAACTTGTACAGCTTGATGTCCATGGTAGTAATAGGTGCCAGATTGACCCGTAACGTTGAACTCATATCGAAATCTATGACCCGGTGCAATGGGGCATTGCGTTATGCCTGTAGTACCATCCATATGGTTGGTTCCATTTTGAAAGATGCCATGAAAATGTATAGATGTAGCGTTGACGGCTTGATTATCAACATCGATGATTATAACATCTCCCTCATTACATTCGATCATTGGACCAGGAAATTGTGAGTTAATGGTGATCATTGGTCGAAAAACTCCGTCTGGATTTGCCTCGATATCTTTGATGGTCCAGTGATATGTACGAACTTTTGGCGAGGCATCAAAATCCCAATTTGGATTCAATTCGTAGTCACTTGCTGGCCTACGGAAGCCGCTGGATGTTGGATTCGGATGGTCAATTACTGTGTTGCCTTTAGAGGTGATATGCGATGCAATCTTCCACATCATGAGGATAGTTGCTATCGCTGTCGAAAATGATAGAAATACCACCCAAGGGGTTCTTAGGTGCCATTTTGTTTCGAACTCGGGCTCCAGTGATAGTTTACGCTTTTGATTTCCGCTTGACAACAATCCATCTTGATCTCCATAATCATCATCTCTCCCTTGCATTTCAATATCATCCAACGTTTCGCTTGACCCTAAAGATCTATTGGGTGATACGCTGTTTCTCTTATTCGACAACACTCTCATTTTTTGATGTCCATAGTCATCTTTTTCTCCCCTAACCTCCTGCATTTCAACATCATCTAGACTTTCGTTGGATCCTGAGGATCGCTCATTGGTAAAGACAGACATGGTTGTATCTTTGGACGGATTCTCATCAATCTTGTTCGTGACGTTGCTGAGATGCTACCAATTTGTCAAGCATTCCAACCAAGTCTTGGGATTTCTAGCCTCAAGGCAATGAATGACGTTTCCCTCTCCAACTAAAGGAATCAAAGTATGGTTGATGTGACGAAGTTGATTAACACGATGTCATCTTTCTTGTCTGCGGAATGGCATGGAAATGACCAGATTGTGTCCGACAAGAAATGGTTCAAGTATAGGAAACCAATGTCGTCAATATACAAAGTAGAATAAAAAGCCGACTCCAGAGCCGGATTAGATTAGTGTGTTGAGGTCTCTAAGTAAGCAGGTAGTTCAACCAAATTCGGATTGGCCATAAACCAGATGCACATGTCTCGGGATCGGAGGGAAGATCAGTTGCGTTTGCACGCTTTAGATAATGATTACTGCAATCAATTACTCGTAGATTATAGAATAACTAAAGAAGCAAAATGATGACCCATGGAATTAATTGCCAACAAATTATTGGAGTGGCATCTAGATCCCTTTCACCCCTCTCTGCCATCCGTCACGTTCGCCAATGGGATGACACGTTTTCCCCACGGGACTGCGAGATAAGCATTTCTTAGGTTCAATGTCAGGTTTTAGCGGGGATGTACCTAGGCCGAGATAGGCAATCGAGCTAATCAAATAAGCACCTACCATTTTAGCTACATGAACGAACGTTACGTCTAACCACGAAAGACTTTAGTGATACCACCTAGATACTAGGCAATGATATTCTCCGCCAAACTTGTGCTAATCCCCTGGATACCAAGGGAAGGGTGTAGGAAAACTCTTCATTCCAAGTAGCTTTTCCCGTGCGAGTTTAACATGACAATATCAGACGAGATGAAAGCTTATGGATGAGATGATGCCGGGTGCTAAGGAGCTCACATATGACGACAAGTGTATGCTTGTACTCTACTATCTACTATCTACTATACTACCAAGCTCCAGTTGCTAATGAGTACATCATGGGTGGTATTTATTATCAATTGAATATCGATGGTTGGCTACTCTTCTGCCCCTAAGAATTCTTATTTGACTAGGGTACTCTTGGTACTACTATCGACTGGCACTTTGCAGTAGATACTCCGCATAACACCTAACAAGTGCGAAGGGACGAAATATCGCCCCTCCCCGCTCTTCCAAGAGATCGCGGCACAATGCCATCCTTGTCACCCTACACACTGCAGTATCTGCGTGCTCGTGCATGTATCCTTTGGCCAGGAATGAAAGTACTGGATAAATCGGATATGCTCAATTCTTGATGAGGCAGGTCAAAAAGATGCTTCAATATATGATTTCCGTCCAATATCATCTCAACTTACCAACATCTGGAATCTTATAGGTTGAAAGATTTCTAACGGGATGTCCAGCTATAACTCCTTGTACACCGCAGATATGGCGTTACTGTCCTTCCTCTTTACTTTACCGTTTGTCCGAGGTTGTTGATTTACTAGTTGCGATCTACCAGGGTGCTAGTTATATACATAGTGTTGGTTCATTCCCAGCATCTTGGATTTGGTAATTAGCTTGAAAACTTCGATAGTTCCATTGTGTGATGTTTAGATATTTCATGGGAAGTTTAGCCTTGGTTTAGTGCTTCCAGTAGTCAATCAGTCCTCAAGCATAAATAACATCCAGTCCCCGATTGTTCTTGTTTTTTTACTCAGAGCCAAACAAAACTTCAAACATATCAAGATGCGTCAAAGCACTCTCATGAGAGTCCCTCTGGCTTTTGTAGCCGTGTTAGGAGCGACACTTGCAGCTACGATCTCCAAGAGAGTTGAAGAGCTTGAGCTTGCCAACACTATTGCTGATGGCCACATTTCTCACCCGACAGCCTTCGGCCACAAGGCTGTTCTCCACGCTCAACAGTATGCATCACACAGAAGTCCTACCAGTTGCGTCAAGGGAGAGGTCTTTGATCGAATTTTCAACATCTGGTTTGAGAATACTGACTACGAGACTGCTTTTGCAGACCGTAAGTTGCCCTTTCTCAAAAGAGAAATAATTACATGTGTACTGATATATATACAGCAAACTTCAAACACTTCTCAGAGAAGGGTATTACCTTGACAAACTATTTGGCGGTAACACATCCAAGTGAACCAAATTACCTCGCATCCGTTGGAGGGTGAGTTTGAATTTTATACTAGATTATCCGCTCACAATAACTTACATTGATCTAGTGATTTTTTCGGTCTCGATGGTGATCCATTTACTACTGTCCCTACCAACATTTCCTCTGTAGTCGATCTCCTCGAAGATAAGGGAATCACTTGGGGTTTGTATCAGGAAGACATGCCATACACTGGTTTCCAAGGTATGGAGTGGCGCAACGAGATCACCGGTGCCGATGCATATGTTCGCAAGCACAAGTAAGTTTAATCAATCACCCAAACATTCCAACGTACTAACACCCACCCAGCCCTGAAGTCCTCTTCAACAATGTCGTTGACAAGCCTGAACGTCTTAACTTGATCAAGAACCAGACCTTGTTCCACCAAGATCTTGCTGCAAACACATTGCCCCAATGGATCTTCTTTACCCCCAACATGACCTCTGACGCTCACGATAGCTCCGTCACCGTCGCTGGCGAGTATCTCTACAACTTCCTCAACCCCCTTCTTACCGATCCTCACTTCATGAACAACACTCTTGTCGTCATCACCTTCGATGAAAACGAGGTCTACTCCCGTCAAAACCGTGTCCTCACTATCCTCCTCGGTGACGTCGTTCCAAAGAAGCTCCACAACACCACCGACGACACTTACTACAACCATTACTCCAAAATCTCCACCATCGAAGCCAACTGGGGACTCCACACCCTTGGTCGCTTTGACGTCGGCGCTAATGTCTTCAAGTTCATTGCCGAGAAGACCGGCGACAAGATCCGCAACTGGTCTAACGGTCTCCTCGAGACCCGCTACTTCAACTACAGTTATCCTGGTTTCCTTGCCGCGTCAGTTGGATGGGCACCCCAGCCCGTTCCAAACACCAAGTTGGTAGTCAACAAGCGAACCGTCTTGCCTGCCATCAAGGAGTATTGGGGAGGACAGGATGCAAATTCCAAGTATCAAGGACAGTTGGAGATCCCTGATGGATACAACTACTAAACTGCCTCATCAAGGGGCTAGTGGTGTGAAGCAAGGGCGAAGGGTTTACTACTGGTAAAAATTACTTTTTTGTATCATCTCGAACCTTTGTAATCACACATTTTATTTCGCTATTTGACTTTGCTATTTGATTTTGTTGATTGATTTTGCAATTCTTTTGGTGCCACGTAAGGGGGAAAAAGGTCCGAGTACACTTTGATCATGAAACCCTTTTCGCGCTACATAAGGAGGATATAAAAAAAAGTTTGGAACAAAGTTTGCTACGTTACTGTTGATATTTTCACGGGGGCGTATGGAGAACGGTGTATAGGCCAGGTTGGGTACATAATGTATAATAATATTCGATCTGGGAATTGGGTGAAGAGTAAGAGGTTCTTTAGGCTTTTGAGGATTTCTTTGATTCGGCCACTCGATTGGTGCCAAAAAAATGAGAAAAAATAGATGAGAAAACCTCAAAACTATTGTTTTTTAACTGCTTTGGTGATGTGATCTTCATATACTTTAAAACCTTTCTGGGAATCTTGGAATTATAGTGTGATTTCCTTGTGCAAATAAAGGAAAAAATACGCGATAGACGATCAAGGTGAGCTTTACTTGGAAGCTTGCCAAGAGTTGACGATGCATTCCACTGGGAAGGATCATGAGTTGTCTGTTTATCAACTTCTTTTGTCCAAAATACACTAATATCGTTTCGAAATCATAAATTATAAGATTGAGTTCTCACGTTATGCAGATCACAGTGCAGCAATTCATGACATCCTGCGCAAAAATGTCTTTAATAGGGTATATCTCCTGGTTTTTCCTAGTGTCCGATATTATCAAATTCCCAACCTTCCCCTTATCTACGCCGCTGCTGCCGGTTTGGCGACACTATATGCAGTGAAGAAATCTGGATCATTTGCTGCTTCTTCTTTGACCTATGATGTATTGAGTTAGAAATGTATTCCACCAATGTGTGGGCTGAGTATCTGGGAATATGGATACAGGGACACGTCGCTCAAGTCCCATTTACAATTTCCTCCCAGAAGAACATTAAATAGGAAAGAACTTACAATATCCAGACCTCCAACGAGTTCTCCATCCATCCACAATTGTGGGAAAGTAGGCCAATCCGCAAATTCCTTAAGACCCTGCCTTACCTCATCATCGGCCAAAATATTAAAAAATCCATATTTCACCGACTTTTCTCTTAGTAAAGCGACGAGTTGACGAGAGAAACCGCACTGGGGTGCAGAAGGTGTTCCTTTCATGAACAACATCACAGGAGCTGCCTTAACAAGATTGGATAAGCGAGCGTGAAGATCTTCTTTAGACATTGGTTCTTCGGATTCGGTGGAAGTGATAGGTGCGGTTGTTGATGGTGCGGTAGAGGCATGGTTTATACTGGGGACGGGCTTGACAGATGTACCGTTTGTGGAGGTGGAGGGAGAGTTGGCGTGTTTTTCAATGGCATTGCGGACTTTGGTGGCGTCGCTGCCGGAGACGGTCTCTAGGACAACATTGTTGCGGGTGAGGACGAGGTAGGGAACCGCAGTTACGTCAAAGGCATCGGAGACGGAAATTACTTCTTCGGCATTCATGGAAACCCATGAGGTGGTTGGGGGTGTAGTTTGGGGGTAGGATAGCGCGAGGGTACGGAGGACGGTTGTCCTAGTGAGAGAATCAGTACGGTTGTCTAATGACGTGGGCAACTGGGGGAAATTGGAGCGAAGCTAAAGTAGAAGAGAGGGGTTGATGACGATGAATCCGGGGGAGTCTTACATTTGCGCGCATGGTGCTGCCCATGGTGCCTAGTGTTTGTCGCATTAGTCAAAGGTTGAGGAGGGCGGATGAGGGGCGGTGGATGAAGAGACGTACGTGAAAGTTAATGATCTGCAGAGTCGATGATGGCAGAGATTCAGTATGTTTCTGCCATTCTTCCTCTGTTGTAATATCGATAAGAGTTGACATCTTGATACTTGTCTCTGTTTGTAGTGGGGTGGATGTTGCTGGTGGGGGGTAGTTTCGTGGCTTTGTTTAAGAAATCGTGGGGTGTATAGAGTTTCTTTTGTTTGGTTGACGGAAAGTAGGTAGGTATCGAAATGTTAGTCGAATCAATAGTGAACAGACGAAGATTTAGTCAAAATAGTTCTGGTTGATGTGAGAGTGAAGTTGCGAGGCCGGAGATATATTTTCTAATCGCTATCAAGATGGCTAGCCTCATCGCGTCATTCCAAGCGACAAATTTCTCAATCGTTCCATAGGAAAGGGACAATTACAAAAATGATTAATAATCCAACATAATTGGTTTGCTATGAGATCTGCTGTATGGTAATAACATCTTTCCTCACTGAAATTGTTCACATGGTGCATATGGGAATTTAATTGTAGGAGCAACATAGAAAATATGAGATCGAGCATAAAAGTCTTTTTCAAGCTAAATCTGTGTGTCATGCTTCAACGAGCTTCGTCGGTGGTAGTACCCGACGAACTTTTTGTTTTGGAAATCTCTCCCAGTGAAGGTTATTCCCACGATTGATATTAACGTTTATACACTCAAGGTGATCATCACCCGGCCTTTCTCCAACATTACATAAACAAACCTGTACCAACTTCACTTACGTATATACCAGTCTCTACTATACAGAACACTAAAGTCTCTGGCCTTGATACTACTTTATGCTGATCTTGGTTTCGAGATTTTGAACTATCCACACTCAGATTTGAGCTAATCTGGGAGGATACGCCATCTATTTCAAGACATCATAAACCTCATTTCCATGATTTGGAGGCCTCACAACACATTCCTTGATTCCGTACCTTAATCGAACCAATGTCAAAGTTTACCTAGTTAGCAGACGCATTCGAAACTAGCTCTGAGATTGTCCTTCTAAATCCTTGTTGCCATATTGATGTTGAGGATGTAATTCGAGCGAAGGTGTTTTTGATCTTCTCTTCCACTGTTTCGAGTTTCAACTTCAATGTGCCGTCTCCCATGTGCCGTCTCTCGAACTTTCTGAATTTATCTGTCTCTGTGATCGCCCACTCATTCTCTTTGTATGGTCCATCCATTTCAACTTCCGGTAGACTTTCCGCACCTGAGGCCAGCTTACATTTTCTCTTTCGTGCACCCATGAAATCAGTGGACCTTTCCTTTCTCGAATACTCAAATTTTTAGGAAATGATCTCAATTCGAGTCTCAGGGACCCCTGGACAATCCGTTTCACATCCACATATCTGGACATATCAAAAAATGTACCGTTTTTGAGGGTTTAAATGGCCACACCTCAACTTGTCGTTATGGGGGTCAGAGACATACTGATTCCAGCTCACCGTATGTTGCATAGACAAGGCACCGATTGAAGTCCATGATATTCATGAAAAAGAACCCACTTGTCATGATATTGAATGACCAGCTGGGCCACAAGATTGACTCTGCTTAATGGAGGAAACAGACATTCGCTTGAATGCCTTCAGTGGATAGGAAAATCGAAGATGTAAAAGAATGTTTCATAATACATAACACTGCTAACAATCATCGTGGTATAGATATGAACTGCCAATGCTCAACGACTGCATATATCTGAAGGCCTTGAAAAGAAGAACAGAGCCAGCTTTTGACAAACGTGGCTCTGCACATGAAATGGGTATCGCAAAAACCCTGGCCCACTTTGAAATCGTCACCCACCAACACACCAAAAGCCAAAAGTTAAAAACATACAACAGTAAGGATTCGCTGATGGTCACCCACTCAACTACTAATTTACCGATTTGAGTCTTGAGTATGGCAGAGCGGACGGGATGCCCTAATTTTCTCAATCTATGGTCGTATGTGGAAGACTGAGAGGGAATTTGGTTCATATACCACAGTCTGGAAGTCTTCAGGGTGTTCTGCTCTTCCACTTCGGCTACTATGAAAGCGACCTGTGTCCCTCAAAGTTCTTGTTCAATCTCTGAGGAAATGAAACACCCTCTGAGCACTCGGTAGTCGATGATGTGTTTACTGCAACGATAATTGTAGAGCAGGCCGTCAGCTACATAGTATACGGCGGCTCTTCTTCGTTTCTTGAGTTATTGATACTTCATGTATGAGTGACCCATAGTGTTAAACTAGGACTGCCCCAGGACGATCAATATTGAACTAAACCTTCAACGGATAGCGCAAAACGACATGGGTTTTCAGCGATTGCAAAATCAATGTTCGGTTTCCCCAGGTCACTGGTGCTCCACTGCATACCTGCGCGTACACAGCAAGGTGCGTATATTGTAGGACGGATACCACAATACTTTGCAATTGGAGAAGCAGAAACTTGGACGCCACGCAGCAAGCTTGTTGTATGGATAAGGGGGAGAACGCGAAGCTGCTGGTAGCCTGGCAGCTGGAGTGACATCTTAAAGCCAAGTCGGATATGTGACGGATACAGGGGGGTGGTCAAAGTGGCTGACAATACTAAAAGTTGCTGCTGCTTTTAATGAGTCAGGGTTTGTATCAAGGATTATTCTGCAGTATCAATCGGGGTCACAAGATCGGATGATGGAAACGAAGTAAAACCAGCAGCAACGGTAATATAATGGAACTCTTGAGAAGGTGACGATCGGGGGAAAGGTGGCTGAGGTAGCGTATTAAGCGTATACTAGGACCACTCACGCCCTATAAGGATTAGATTGGGGGATTTGGAAGCAGGGGGAGCTGAACGATCGCTGTTCACAGTATTAAATAGCAAATCTCTTTCAGAAGTTGCATGGAACAATGGCCGTGTTCCGGGTTGGCGCATCAGATGGTAACTGAATTGTAGCAAACAAAAGGGCCACAATTGCTGAGCCATGTTGATGAGGTGTTTGATCTGCGCCTTCTTTCTATTTGCATACTGCATATTGAGCCGGTCGAGCCAATCAAAAAAGAAGCACTTGCATGACTTCAAACTGCGAAATGAGTGCCCTACTGTATGATACAAATGTAAGGTACTGGCGATACTTTGGAGACTTGCACCTATAAATCGCATGCCCATCCGAGCCATCCTTCTTTGAATGAGACCGTTGACTCGACCTAACTCTTTCTTCGATCCAAAGCCACCGGGGCAAAATATTAAACTTCACAAGCATTCAAAGCATCAAAAGCCTCAAAGCTTATTAATAAGAGAAAGAGAGAGAAGAACAGAGACCGCGTATTCACATCCACTCCCAAATAAATAAATTCCAAATAACTTGGCGTGATTAATAGGTTAGTGATATTAATGTTCTATTTCGATATTTTATCACTCGTCAGCGATTAGGTACTAGGCATTTTTATAGCGAGTACAACCCAATTGGTTCTCTCCTTGGCAGTGTCTCGAACGAACATCCTTCCTCCGTTCTACCGATTTTTAGCTCTTATTGATGAATCCAATCTAATCTAACTTTGAAGTTTGGCCTCTCTTCTTTCTCAACGTCAACTTTTCCACTCGCAACGTTTACTTGTATTTGTTTTTTATCAATCAATCGCATCAACCACCTCTCTCCGTAAGTTTGCGCATTTTCCCCGACGCAGCTTCAACCTTTATGAAACGAATACTGACCAGAGACTCTGTCCTCCTCATTATAGATTAATACAATGTCGAACCAAGGTTACTACAACAATCAACAACCCCAATACGGTGGCCAACCTCAATACCCTCCCAATGTATGTTTTCGCCTCTATTGTCACCGTCATATCGATCTCCTTGCGATCTCCTCGCGATCTCTTGGATAATCTTGGCACATGAAATGGAAGAAGAAGAAGCTGACTCTGGTGTGATACATAGGCTTATGGAGGACCACCACCGCAACAAGGCTACTATCAACAAGGCCCTCCACCTGTGAGTACATTCGCATATCCTCTATCCAATACATTGTTCTGTAAAATGCGATGGCTGTGATTCCCCAATACCTCAGCGCTGTCGCAATGCCGAGAAACACCGAGATAGCTTCACCGTCGCATGATACAATGCAATGTACCTCATATCTAAGAGTACTTTGAACTAATAATTATCTCTTTAGCAACAAATGCAATATCAACAACAACCTCCTCCAAAGAGTTCCGGTGGTGGACAAGGCTGTCTCGGTGCTTGTTTTGCAGCTCTCTGTTGTTGTTGCGTAATGGAAGAAGGATGTGAACTCTGTGTTGAATGTATGTTACTCCCTATACCCTTCCGCTCTTACTCACCTCGCCACAATCAAATAACAATCCACTTACTCTTCCCTCACAGGTGCCGAATGTTGTTAGAGCAAATCGCTGTCAAACCCACGCATTCTCCGCTACTATTCATCCATATAAACGCCATCTCGAAATTGCCTAATCCACTGGCGCCTCAGCACATCTCCAATTCCAGTATCGTGATTCAATCGAACAAATCGACGGCTTTATACTTGCCCATAATGTTTTCCCTTCCCGCAAGCCAGCAACGATACAACGCCCTCCAAAGTCCTAACTCGTTTTCCAAAATCAAATCACCTTGTTCATAGATTCATATGATTGAAGTAACAAATTCGGCTTTCCCACGCATTTTTCCTTCCTCTCACATATCCCCCCTTTTCGTGTTCTTACAGGTCTACGTCTCTCTTCGAATGGATCACAGACTTTCTGCTTCCAGCTAGTTTTTAGGGTTGGTTGGTTGGTTAAGATAAGATAATGAACGACTTTTATTTAATAATTTATGCGCTATAGCTTACTTTCGTGTGATGTCTGAATCTATGTGATATGAATAATTTCACTTTCGTGCTTTGCTACTTATGAATAGTACAATGTGAACGCCACCGTGGATGGCAAATACGTGGAAGGATCTGATAGGTATTCAAGATTGCAGCAGCCAGAAATCCTCCTTAAGCTTCAATAGATTGGTAAAGGAAGAATACTTGACCACTTTACCGAGAGACAAAGACGAGTATGTACAATGAAACTCACACAACGTTAGACAGCAACATCGAGGAAAGAATTTTCAATTCTCTTCTATTTTATAGAGGCCAAGACCACCGTTATTTCGCTTTTTTTCTTCTTCACTAGTTGTAGTTAACTGCCTAGAAAAGCCATTCATGCCACCCTCATCTACAAAATCTCCTGAATTTTTATAATGTTGAATCAATTTCAACTACATCACAACTACCCCTCCCAAAGACGTCAATCGCTTCATATGCATTTGCGCTTCGCTTAAATTTGTTCCAACCAATGTAGATACTTATTGGTCAAGTTCTACATAGTTTGCTGGGAAGAGACCGGAGTGTCCTTTGAAGTGACCGAACCACCAATCATCATCCGGGAATTCCTATTGACTGGGTTAGTAATCTTTCTTGAATGCGTTGAGAAAGGAAGGGGAGGGAGGTAGGTGAACATATAAGCGAAACGTACCAAATCAGTAATCGTAGCACCTTCCGGGAAACTCAATTCATTATCCTCGGCGGCCTCATAGTCGTATAAGGTAGTAGCCGTAGGACCAGCAGCATGAGCAGGTGCGGCTGCTGGAGCTGCTGGAGCTGGAGCTGGAGCACGTGCAGGTGCAGGTGGTTCTGGCTCATCGTAATGGCTAGGTGCTGGTGCTGACTCTTCTTCATCTTCTACGAGCTCTACATAGTTGCTTGGGAAGAGACCACTTTCACCCTTTGAATTAGTGCCCATCCACCAATCATCATCGACCATTTCAATGTTGGTGACGTATTCGCCTTCAACCAATTCCAACTCATTATCTTCAGCCTTCTCGTAGTCATATTGAATCAATGCGCGTTTACCGCTAGCAGCGGATGCTTCATTGACGGCAGGAGCGCTGTGTCCAAATGTTTCGGCTGCCACAGCTGCTGCAGCGCCACGGGCAGGGTCATATCCAGCAGGTTCCTCGGTGAGATCTTCTTCTTGGGGAACATGTTCAATGGCCTGCTCGAGAGTTGGATGATCATGAAGTTCCTCTGGCGCTTCCATTTCCTCAGGTTCTCGTCCACGTGCTACTGGCATAGCAATACGAACGGGGGATGGCTCGCGTTCTGGTTCCTCTTCTGGTTCTGGTGTGGGACTGCGGGGAACTGAGGGAGGTGCGGGAATATTTGGTCTGCTGTATTCCTCCTCCTCGGACTCAACAGGTGGAGGCCGGGTTGGAAGTCCAGGCATCGGAACTGCACCAGGCCTGCTAGAGGCGTTGATAGGTGGAGGTGGTGGAGATTGGTCTCGGTCTCCAGTGGTTGATCGTGGCATTGCTGGTGCGCCCATTGGTGCTTGTCCTCCCTTGAATCGGTCCCGGATGGCATTGACACCTCCAACTGGAGAATCTGGTACTACTTGCTCCGCTTCTGCTTCGCCAGTTTTCTGTGGGTCGATGCTGCCTGTAGCAGATTGCCCAGTGGGATTGGTAGCAACAGGAGCCCAGGATTTACCAGTATATCCACTCTTCCATTGTCCTCCTCCACTTGGCTGGCTTGCAATAGGCGATGCTACGCTCTGGGGAGGTGCATCGCCAGCGGCACTAAGTCCTCTTTGTCGAGCTTTCTTCTCTGCCCAGATTTGAGCAGGAGTTTTACCACCCTCGTCAGCAAATGTTCGACTGGCTGCACCGATTGGAGCAGATGCTGCCGGGGCTGCTGGCGACTGAATTCCAAAACTTCCTGGAGTTGGGGCTTTGGTTCCAGCGAAACTGCTGGCAGTGGATCCAAACTTGTTCGCGACCTTTGGTTTTGGTAGAGTTGTGAGACGCTCGGATTGAGTGAAAGCTGCAGACCTATCTGCAAGAGACTTTGGTGGTTCATCACTGCTTGGGGCGGGTGAGCCAGTAGCGGCAGGTGAAACCGCCCTGGGACCGTCGTCGCCAGGCTTTTGAGCTTTAGCTCGGATCGCGGCAATATCCACTTTGCCGACTGGTTCGTATGCTCCCTTAACTATCGTTGGTCGATCATCACCACTGCTTTTAGCTTGAGCACGTAGTGCTGCAATGTCTACCTTTCCGATTGGTTGATAACCTCCTTTGACAACATCAGGAGCAGATCCACTGTCTGCTCCACTGTCATTGCTGGATCTTGAAGCGGTTGGCTGTTTGGTAAGCTCTGCCATATTAACTTTTGTGGGTTTATATGCGGGCTGGACCTTTTCAAGTTGTGTCCTGGTGATTTGTGGCGCATCTGCGCCCCATCCATCTCCGTCTACGTTGTCATTCTGACTTGTCCTTGATCTCGAACCTGCCAATGGATTGAAACCCGACACACCGCCCGACCGTGTAGGAGTGAACACTGGTTTGGAAGCTGTTGGGGGACGAGGACCAGAGGAAGGCGGTGGTGCTGAGCCCGAGGAATATTTTGCGCCCGATGCATCTGCTACTTTTTGAACAATACTTTCTGGTGCCAAGTCGGATTCCGATCGAGCAGTTATTTGAACATGATAGCCCTAGATAAATTTATAAGTATGAATAGATGTGAGATAATCAGATATATGAGTACGAACATGAAGAATCTTGGATACTGCTGCAAGGTGGCTTGTGAAATAGCCTTTTGTTCTTTCGGGAACACCTTCACCGCACTATAGGTTATGTTAGGACCTCCTCTCATTCCAACACTCTTTTCAATTGTATGACTGACCCATCCAATAAGTACGTATTTCGGGAGTGTGGTATTAGGATCTTTGACTTTGACAAATGCGAATTGAACTCGTCCTTCCGAGAGATCCTCGATTAAGTCGATGAGTTCTCCCTCTGGATTTCAAACCATTAGACGATTTGCTTGGATTCATCAACAATAATGCAAACATACCTCCAGTGCTTTGTACCTTTAGCACACTCTCCTTTCCACCACTATCTTGTTGAAAAGCATTTACAAGAGGAGCTGACACCGAGAACAAAGCCCACTGTCCATAAGTCGGGCTGGACGCCGCAGCTCCGGAGGGTGCAGAAGAATTGACCACTCCAGTATATGATGATTTAATAGAAGGGCCATTCGTGGACGTATTGAGAGTTGCCATATTGGCAATAGTTAGAGGAGGGGTTAATAAGAGTTAAATGGTTTGAGAAAAAATGAAAAGAAGTTGAATGTTTGGAGGTAGAGTATTGTTTGTGCTCGGCTTGTTCAAGCTGTCGTCATGTTTGGCTGGAACATGCTAGCATCTTTTTGACCGCCACTAGAATCTGATTTCTGGTCAACCAACCATAAATCGACCGCCTCACTTTTCTTAATTATGCTTCACTTATTATCTTACACCCACCCACCCACTACAATTGAAAGATTATAAGATAAAATATCAGGAGCGCATCATATTTGAGGAAAGGATCATTTTCCCCTTTATCATTTTATTCAAGATATTCGACTGTACCTCCGTTTCTTTTCTGTGGTAACATCAAGTTTTATCCCTGCCTTTCTATCAAATGACGGTCGCATAGCTTATCCATAGCTTGCTCCTGTCTCGAATGAGACTGGAATTCTTCCTTTTGGACCCAGATTCTCATAGGATAACACTCACGACAAACCTCTGTTCCTCCCAATCCGGTCGCATAGTTATCAGTATATTGATCTTGGTCATTGCGATTTGAAACCAAATCCGCAAAGTGTTTGACAAGTGTTAATTTCCTATTCTCTCTCTTGACTTGATACGTTCCAAATACGAACCAAGGAATTAACCTTGGTTCAGAATGGATACTCCAGGCAGCGATATACCTTCTGGGAGTACAGGTATATCTACTACAGACACATCCACTGCGACATCCCCCAAGCCTACTATTTCAAACGTCAACCCAGACGCAGGATCATCCAATAGCCATATTATTTCGATTGTTGAGAACGACGACTCAGCCTCTGATGTTTCGATGTCCGCAGATTCTGAGGATGAAGATGAAGACACCTTGGATAATCTGGCCATACAATCCAATTCGAAAGCCCAACTTCCGGAAAAAACTAATGATCCCATGTTGCAGTCCTCCCAGCCGGAAACTTCCAGGAAGCGGAAATATTTAGAATCCAGAGAGGATGAATCAAATGGCCACATTGACAATATAAAGGTCCTTGAGGAAATGCGCAAACGTCTTAAGCCATATGAGATACAGGACCATTGGAGAAGTGAGGGCCAATTGCATTTGAATCGGTCTGTTCTGCCAGCTGAAATTTGGCATCACATTTTCACTTTCACTGCTCCTAAAACTTTGGGTAACTTGTTACAAGTAAACAAGTCTTTCAATAAATATCTTGATCCTTCATCAGATAGCACCATTGTCCCCCTTTCCAAATCTTCTGTCCAAGTATTAAAGCCAGATACCATCTGGCGAGCCTCTAGACGTTTTTTTCAGCCTCTCATGCCTGTTCCTTTAGTTGGACAAACTGAACTTGATATGTGGAGAATGTGTTGCTCCAATTCCTGTCAGTTCTGTAGCAAGAAAAATCCAGTTACCAATATTGTTCAACCAGACCAATGGCATCTGGGTCCAGGGGAAAATGGAGTCATTCCCATCTGGCCTTTCGCAGTGAGATCATGTGGAATTTGTCTTCTGCAACATGCTATTAAGGTATAGTCTCACGTTTTCTTTAGTTTACACCTGGGGCTCGCTAATTCGTGCCCAGGAGATTGATGTATTGCTGTCTTCATCAGTTCCGTCACCGCTGATGCCGGCCCTGCCATTCGTGT